TTCGGTCAGTCCACGAAAAGTGTTTCCATTGTTAAAGTGCGTATGGTCTGTGGCGCACGGTGGAAGGGAAGAGTGAGGATAAAGCCTCGTGTGGTTTGAGAGAAACAGCTCTCGAGGGAGGGTGCTGAGGATGGGGAAGGACAACTGGATGTGGGGAAGAGGGGGGGGGATCATGTTATAGTCAGGGGCGAAAGTGAGGAGCTGGTTGGGTTGTCGAGTGGGCGTTGAGTGAGCGGTTTCATAAAGATTTCATGGGCTTGTGCATAAGTGTCAACACACTGTACAACTCATGCTAGCATGTTGACACAACACGTTTCATCATCGGCCGTTGTTTATCCACTGCTGAATGAAGGGAAGCATCATCATTTCTCAAGGTCTTGCGATGTGGTGCTCTCCTGCAAGTGAGCTAATTTCATTGCTCCGTCTCCAAAGTGGGCATAGATTTGGTTATTCTCTCCTTCGTCTGCCATTCTGTCACCCATCATATCGGTTGGCCATTGTCAATTATAGTTAAACACATTTCTGCGGAGGGAGCTGCTAGGAACGTTGGGTTGCTCGGTCAATGGCCAGGGTCAACGGCGGCGTGGTGTATTCCGCAAATATGCCCGACTGTGAGGGCGGGCACAAGCCGGCGTGAGTAGGTTAAACGTTGAGTTTTATAAGGGCACCCACGGGGTGACCAGCCCCTCCCCACCCAGCCCCACCCCTCCCACCCCGCACCCAGCCCCACCCCTCACACCCACCACCCAGGCCCACCCTCCCCACCCAGCCCCTCCCCACCCTACCCACCCAGCCCCTCCCCACCCAGCCCCACCCTCCCCTCCCCACCCAGCCCCTCCCTCCCCACCCAGCCCCTCCCTGCACGACGGACGGACGGACACAATAATCCCCTGTGGGCTGGTGTAACCAGGAGGTTCCTACCAGTAACATGCATTCAAATATGAAGTGTCTAATGTGAATTTTCTTCTCTAATTCTTCCCGTCCCTCTTTCTCTCTTTCGCTGTATTCCCAGCATGCATCTCCATTACGTTACTTTGCACACACTGCAGCTTGTGTTCCATTTTTTTCGTCAGTATCCACGTGTCCCATCCATGTCGGAGCAGGTGTTATGGCACTGATTGAAAACTTGCACACATCAGTCGCCTTTCGATTCCCCAAAAGCACCAGAACCTTCTCTCCTTTCGTCTTTATTTCAGCATTTTTATCACAAGCTATCTTTCACCACCATGCACAAATAGGTTGCCACAGGGCTAAAGGGGCGATCAGTGGAGGGCAGTGCTGCAACATCCATTGTTGTAATGTACTTCTATCCCACCACGTATATACTTCCCGTGGTGTAGTTATCGTCAAACAAATCCCATGACCCACATTACTGGGGGGAGGGCTCTCATCCAGCAGTGATTTAACAAAAGAGCCGGTACATGTAACCGTACGTATAGAAATGCAATATAATATATACACACACACAACATATACCATGTGCGGATTTTTTGCTTGATGTGCCCCATTGAGTTGCAGGATCTGTTGTCTACCCAGGGGGCTGGCATCGCTTCGTGCCCGCGATTGCTCGGTTGTAAAATGGCACTCGATTTGCATGTCCTCTGGAGACGTGAGCTCCATTTGTCACGTCGTTCATACAAACACGTCTGCCTCTATTGTAGTTGTCAACGCCGTCCATTAGCCCCCGGGCGGACGAGTGACCGTCGTGAGCCTGGCCAATGAGACCGCGGCAGATTGAGTTATGTTTCGCTCCCACTCGAGGTTCTTGATTAATTGAATCTCGCGCAATGTTGTGAAGATGCTCGCGGCAACATTGACACGAGCGTTCGCCGCTTTATCACGGAAGTTCGTGGTTCGAATCCAGCAGCCACCCCGATTATTACTGCGGGTGTACCGACCTGCAACAGAACCGCATGTCGTCCGCTTCACTCAGTCGACGTTCAAGATGACATTTGCAAGAATGGGCCAATCGCGTCCTGGCATTGGTTGTCCACATTTGGTACCAGCGTGTTGATGCACACAACCACTGTGATGCACGCGGCACGTGTGACTTTATTTAACCGTGGCTCATGCGAGGTGCGCACTGTGCCATAATTCCCGTTTATGGATCAAAGGCAATCCGCATTCATCAACCAACTCGTGCAGCGTTACACAATGCCAGCAGCTCTGCCCTACAGAAGATCGGTCAACTTTAAAAGCAGCGCTTGCACGGGCGAGTGGGGAATTGTTTCAGATCGCAGAGGTAATCTCGGAAACAGCTCAACATTGAATTTATAGTAGACCTCGAGGTGGAAGATGGGTGGGTTTAGGTGTATGTTGATATGCTCGGTGATATTGCAAGGTTGGCATGAGACCCGGCGTAAGGGGCCGTCCATAAATGATGTCACGCACCTGGGGGGGGGAGGGGGTTCAGACATTTGTGACGATGTGTGACGAGGGGGGGGGGGGGTTTGAGGAATGTGAGGTCACATCAAAATGCGCAACTTTAAATATATATAGACAACACGCTCTACTTAATTAAATAGACTTTTTTTTATAAATGTTTTCTCCTACAACATCAGAGTGCAGCGCCACATTAAATACGCACTACAATGACAATAGTTTAAAGCGATTTGAAGCCTATTATATATTTTTTGGGGGGGGGGGGCAGAGCTTTGTGACGTCATATTTGAGGGGGGGGGGGTCTGACTTTTTGTGACGCCGTGTGACGAGAGGGGGGAGTCAGAAATCGTCCAAAATCTCGTGACGTCATTTATGGACGTCCCCTAAGGAAATTTTACCGTCGTGTCCACCTTCCTCCCTTCTTCGTGGCCCCCACACCGGCCCTCTCTGGCGTGTGCGCCATGGTGCAGTTGCACCGCCTACTCTCCCGATAGCTACACCCCATAGTGCTAGGTTCACATTTCGACGAAGCGACTGAAAGGCATCTCCATGGCGATTTCACCCCTCCCTCTCCCCCATTGTTGCTGAAAGAGGCATCGGCACAATTTTGCTAAAACTCGATAAAGAAGGAAAATTCGCCAATAACACGCGAATTGAGATCTTGTGTATGTAGCTGGTTGCGCGCGCGCAGGCGAGCAATATGCAATGTGAAGAATTGAACGTCACCGCGTGCGGCATGCAGTGAAGGCCTCTCTCTCCACTGGCGGAAACTCTCCCACTGCCGAGCATTTCAAGCAGACAATAAAATTCGCTCTGGGATTTGCAGTAATGAGATGAAGGCGAGCGGGGGGGGGTCTATTTTTGGCTGAAATATTCACCAAGCAGGGCAGCATGAGCAGCTCCGATGAGGTGCCCATCCTTACAGGAAGTGGATGTCAAACTTTGTTCAACTCCTCTATGCGCGTGACCTTCAAGATTGTTTGTGCTCAACAAAGGCAAAAGAGATTACAGGGGGGGGGGGGGGGGGGGGGGAGAGATTAGAGGCACACATGCTCACACACAGATCCCCTGCTGCAGCAAGTGCTGCTAGCGAGCCACCCGTTAAGGCTGACGCAGCGCATGAAGGAGTGGGGTGGACCGCACCAAGCCGGGCCGTGTTTGTCTCCCCATTGCAGTACGAGGTACTTAAGGCTGAGTCGACCCAAGGCATTCCCAGCGCAGGATCAGATACCACTCGCCACTGATGTCATCCATGGCTGGGAATCAAAATTAAGGTCGCAGGATTTGTAGCACACTCTGGGAACCATTCCGCAAATGCTCCCAACACACACACGTACACGTGTATACACACAGGCAAAGACCCCCCGTATAGCCTTAACATACTGTTCGGGCAAGCGCTGTTATCGAGCACCTATGAAGGGCGGCCCGGTACACGAGGGGGTGGGTGGCGAGCACTACGCCCGACGGCCTTTGTCTCCGAGCGGCGCTGTTGTTTTACACGCCGCACCAGGTACTTATTTGAGGCTGAGTCGACCGAGGAGAGGCCCAGGACCGATTCAGATAATCGTCACTGGTGTTGGCCGTGAGAGGGAATCGAACTCAGGTCGCCAGGGTCGTAGCGCAGCGCACTAGCCGCTACATTACCGCTTCCCACACACACAGGCACACGCATTTAAAGCGTGAAGATTCATACCTCTGACAGTTAAACTAAGGTCATACGCATGGGGATTGAGTCAACTCAGAGTTTCATATAAAAGGCGACGTTGGGCAATGACCATTCGACTGCATAGAGAGGCCACTCTCTACCTCTCTGGCCTCTCGATGCTCTGTGAAGAGGGGCTTTTGGGCCATTGCCTGAAACGTCGCCTATTATATGACAAGTTGCCGCAGTCTTATTGATGAATGTGTTGCGTTTTTTGTTATGTGCTTGTGCACCACTGCCAATGCAGTATCACCAAATCATTGGCTTTACATTTAGTATTTTGTTGCTAACAACTGCAATGTAAATGTGCAAAACTGCATGGAGAGGGTCAAAATGTGGCAAATTCTAAAATTAACTGCTAATGTATTTAATTATGATAATAGCAATCGTCACAAGCAAAATTAACACATGGATTGTGAATAACATTGCTACTAAACCTGGGATATCTGATTCTAATTTGAAGTAACCAATTACTGTACCGATTATCGGTTCTATTACTCAGCTAACAGGATTATACAAAACTAGTTCCTGAGCAAAAGTCGAAGCTCTGTTCACATGGTGTGCCACTGGAAAGGTGGTGATGGGCGTTGCTTTATTGATACCATTGGCATCATCAGCCACATCACCACTAGGTGTGTGTGGCTTGTAAGGGGTTTCCCACCTTCAGAAGGCAGGATGTCAGGGTGGATGCCATATTTATAGGGGCCTAAATATTCGACTACGTTAAGTAATTAATTACAATTTTCAGTTTGAATATTATATATTAAAAAAAATACCCCGCGATTTTTAATGTCCCCTAGAACAATTTGAGGTTTTTCCAGGACATCGGCTACCTTTAAAAAAAAAAGAGGACGATTCTGGGGAAAAACCATGACAGGTGGCTAACCCTCTCCGCGGCGTGCTGTGTGTCCCGCAGACAGCAAGTCCCGCGACAGCGGCATCGGCGAGATGGAGGAGCTGTCGGTGCCGCACAACATCCAGATCAGCAACATCACGTGCGATTCCTTCCGCATCCGCTGGGACATGGAGCCACGGGACCGGGAGCGCGTCACCCACTACTTCATCGACCTCAACAAGAAGGAGAACAAGAACTCCAACAAGTTCAAGCACAAGGTGAGCCGTGTTGAATCACTTTGTTGGCAAGGCAAAGTAAGACTATCAACTATGCACTATTTTATTTTATTTTACCAGGCAAGGCCCACTGAGCTATACAGCTCTTTTTTCAGAAGTAACCTGGCCACAAATAATAGCTCAACGAAGTGGCTCATCACATGGAAATGTATAGCGGCCAAATACTCGAAATGCACGTTGATTCTAACTATGGAGGGGAAAAACCAGACAATCTGGAGAAAAATTCACGCATCCACGGGGAGCACATGCCAACTCCAAATATATAGGCGTCAGGGTCGGGATCGAACCCACGACCTCCTGCATACTAAACGAGGTAGTTAACATCTCGCCACCACTGGGGGTTGTGCAGCATCAATGAGGTTCTCATTTAACCAACTACCCACTATTATAATTGTAATATGGGGAGTTGTTTTACCATACTTCGCCACGGTGATAGGTGCGGGTTTGTAAAGGCAGAATGCATAGGTGTAGGAGTATAGCACAGTACAACAATGCATTTTGTTGTGACTAATCTACACTAAAAACATAGCTCTGCAGCAGAATCTTTTTTATGCATGGTGGTTTCAAATCCAAGCAATATCCAGGCTTCCACGTGATTTGATCATAGGTAATGTTTGTTATTTATCTAGGTAAGTGTAATGCAGTCTAAAACGTATTTTTCAGAAATGTCCTTTATTTGGATTGTTTGCTCAATTCCATTAATGGGTGCTTTGCATGTGGGAAGATACAGGAGTTATCAGAGAATACTCACCATGCCGTACTGCCATCACCTAGAGCCACCTCATGGCCCAGCGGGTTTATTTTTTTTACTAATTGATCAACCTCAACCAACCCTTATGTCCAAAGTGCCAGATTAAAGGCGTGAGCTAGCACCCTCATCAGATTGAAGCAGGATAGAGGTAGCATGGATGGCTCAGGAGGATTAATGCTGTCAATAACTCAGCCGGCACCGCTGAGATCATGCGTTCGAGTTGGGATTTTAGCCACCTGTGATTAAGTGCGGCGAGTTGGTGATTATGGTGAATACACAATCATGCTATAAAGTACAGCAGTCCCTCGCCAAACCATGGGTTCGAGTATCCACGCATAATTCTATGCGTCGCATTTTGCCAACCACGGTATACAGTTTCGCGTAAGCACCGTTTGGTTTTTCGCCACCTGTCATTTCACATCTCCAGCCATGTTCAAGCGTTTCCCACCAGTGGCGCATCAAGCGCGTGTGCCTCACGCTTGCCCGCGTCGTTCAGTGTTGTGCAGCAGTCGTCAAAGCGTAGTGCTGCAATTTATACCTCGTGAGAGTGTACTGTAATCAAGGCCGTAGCCATGGAGTCAACATTGGGGGGGGGGCAAATCTTCCAGGTGGTCTAGGGGTCACCCCCCCCATAAAAAAAGCTAAATTTGAAAACTAATTTTTTGCCATTTCCTGCCTACAATATTAAAAAATTCACTAACATATAGGATGGACTTTTTATTTATTTTTTACAATAATGTCTAATAGTGTATTTATTACATTGCTCCGTTTTTTTTACCTTTTCTTGTTTCATTGTATGTAATGGCAGAGATTAGGGATTAATAAAGTACAACAACAATCATATAAACAGAAATCTATTTTATAGCAATATATTGGGGGGAGGGCATTTTGAGAATATTTGAATATTGGGGGGGAATGTGTCCCCACCATTATATATTATAATTACGGTCTTGACTGTAATTACTGAACAATACCACTAATTATTGCCCATAATCGTGGCCCCTACGCGTCGAGCTGGTGGTGAAGGTGTGCGTAATGTGAAGATTTGCAAGGAGAGTGGTTTACCTTCAGAGAAACAACTTCTGAGGACGGGGACAGCCCCTCATAGCCAACCTCCCTCCTCCCCTAACACACCATCAGCGTCATCATCGTCATCATCGTCATCATCGTCATCATCGTCATTATCTGGACTTCACTATCAATATTAAAGGCAATTGAAAGTAGTTTTGTTAACTATTAATATGAACGTTATTTTTGTTCCATAAACATACTTCTCATGTTTACTGAATGCATACGATGCGTAGTTAGGCTTCGATGGGAGTGTTAACTGCAGCCGCGGAACCTCACCCCCTATTTTCCATAAGCCTTTAGTCTTGCCAACCACAGTTTTGCCAACCACCGGAGTTTTCCAGAATCCTTACCCCGTGGTTGAAGAGGGATTGCTATATGGTGTTTTATTTTACTTGGCTTATTCCATCTCTGAGAATTATATTTTCTGGTTTGGTTGACATGGCAGCGGCATGGCCTAGCGGTAGGGGATAGTGTTGTTTCAGAGGCTCCTGGTTCTAATCCAGCAGCCGCCCGGATTTAAACTGCTGTGGGTGTAATCACCATAATACTACGCGGCATCCGCTTCACAGTGGACATTAAAGATCCTCTGATTCGCAGGAGTAGGCCACTGTGTGCCGGCGTCAAAGTCCCACTTTGCCAAGTGCGTAAATTACCCGCAATTTACTGAATTGGCAATATACATAGCAATTATCGCCCCCAACTGGCAAACCAATGCCTCCAGGTTACTTTTCAAAATGAGACCCTGGTCTCATGAGTTCTGAGCAGCTTAAACAAAATAAACCTGAAATGTTGACTCTTTCCAGAGGATACAAAAGGTAGTTTGGGATTTTGCATGAGCTTAGGGGCTAGTTTATTGGGTTGGGTAGAACCCATCAAAGTTGTGCGGCACACAGTCCACCAGGCCACCTCCTTCTTCGAAGATACCCGCAGGGCCCGTATGGAGGACAAAAGGAGAAGGAGGAAGAACCATGATCCCTCAGCACCCATCCCAGATGAGACCTATACTTGCAGCTGTTGTGGCAGGACCTGCTTGTCCCGCATAGGCCTCTTCAGCCACCAGCGTGCCTGCAGAAGACGTGGATGTCCTTCTTAGATCTTCTTTCGCGAAGCCAAGCCATGATGATGATGTGCATATGGTGAAGTCTCAACAGGAGGATGACCGCTGGGTTTTGCTCACTCGCCAAGTGGTCGTGGCCGCCCGTCGTGTCCACAGGACGTGCCCACCAAACTGGTGGCCAAGGCAGTGCTGCTGCCCATGACGGTGCGGGGCCACTGGTTCCTCAGCCCGCGCACCGAGTACACAGTGGCTGTGCAGACGGCCTGCAAGCAGCACGACGGGGACTACCTGGTGTCCGAGTGGAGCTCCATCGTCGAGTTCTGCACCGCAGGCGAGGGCCGCACTGCCAAACCCCACGGCATCCATGCAGCTGCCGAGAGTCAGCCGCGGGGCAGCTGCAGTAAATTATGAAATTTCGTTACTACACGACGATGTCACTCGAGTGCTGTTTATGGCGCACTGAATGTTCACGATTTTATTTCGAATAGCTTGTTAATGCAATTAAATCACAAAATGAGCACGACATCTGGGCAGAAGGAGGCAAGGCAGCACGATAGAGAGAGGACAATGCCCGTGGCACAGCTCGGGACGAGCCAACTGGGAATCGGGGCCCAGCACCAACAGTGACAACGCGCCCCGTGGACAGCCGAGGTAGCAAGGGCAGCACCAACGAGTCTCGGGGTATCCTTGGGGCAAGGGGGGTGCCCTTCACCAAATGAGTAGCTTGGCTGTAAGATTAAAGTCTTTTTCATTCACGAAGCTTCAAACTTGAGTCCGAGAGCCCGGGATACATATCCTAATTATATATGTACCAGCCGAGTTTTTACCTTTTCCATTCAATCTTTTAAAAAAACCTTAGAACGTGAATAAACATTGTTGCAGTTGCCATGGGGAATTGGCCATTGTGGGGCTAAGTTCAGGCTGAACGGTCGTGACTCTACACAAGTGCCGCTGCTCCACGGAACATTTTCCATTGGCTGCTGTACTGCTGCCCTATTGCTGCTGCTGTTGCTGTCTCTGTTGCTGCTCTTGTAATCCTTCTACTGCTGCTGCTGCTGGTACCACCACTGCCGTTGCCTCTGCAGACTACTCCAAGGCGCACATGGCACAGCTCCTGGAGAAGGCAGAGTCGGCGGCAGGCCGGATGCTTCCCTTGACCGTCTTCTACCGGAACCAGAACAAGGAGTACTTTGACTTTGTGAGGTTCGTCTCACACGAGCCCTAGTCACTCTCACGGTGCCGGTTGTGGTGTTGATTTTTTTATCCGAGGTGGACGCTTATTTTTCTGTTGTCAACTTTGCGATTCGTGGCGCTCTTCGGTGTCAAGCATTTAGCTTGAGGCTCGAGCATTTTCAGAAATGCTCTCTTTCTCACGACTAAAGGCGCACACTTCCGGGACAGGTGAATCGTTCCACGAAGTATTTCCCTTAAAATGTGGTAGTGGAATCACTGGCAACCGACTGAAACCATTTCTCCCTACTGGCATCTGTTAAATCAACTCTCAAGCCAAGATTATCCAATCTCACGTCTCCACCCCTTCCGCATTGGGCAGTCTACCACAGTGTCTCCAAATGTGATAGCACTGTAATTGCCCTCCCTCATTGGCGGATCTAAATGCTTCCTTATGAACAAATTCACAGTCTGGGCTTGATCTATTCGCTGTGAACAGTGGTCATAGGTCACACATAATAAGCGAGCAGCGTGATATAAAATGGGCCCTAATGATGTAAAATTGACTGTGACAATTCACCCTTCGTGGCCGGTGTTCTGGCCACTAAGGCATTTGCCGCAGAGCTGATGGCTCAATGCCTGCAGATACGTGGTAATTTCGGCAGCAGTTGAACAAATTGCACTGCTGTTAATGGTTTTGCGATGTTGCAAAAAACCGTCGATTGTGTGCATGTTTTGCAAAAACACAAATATGTACGAGCCTTAGTTTCCTGCAATATATGGTTATGGGCTACTGTTTGACATACATTTCATGCAAACAATGAACATTTTGTTAATATATAGCCTAGATATTTCAGATGTACGATTGCAAATTTTTATGGCTTGCATATCTAAAGGGCACAAACCAAAAAAGCATTAACTTATGACACTATCGCTGTTATTATAAACAGATACCTTGTTCTACATGTAGACATAGGGTGCTAATTCTGCCAATTCCAGTGCAAAATTTACAATTACAATTTCTCGTGTTGCACACTAGGGTCATGGTTTTATAAACAAAGGTTGCATTTTGTGACATGCTGGGTCGCACTAGCTTAACTTCGTTTACAAAACTGATACATTAGTTTCTTCCACGGAAAGAGTAATGGAGGTAAGAATAACTTAAAGCCAAATTTATAGACGTAAAAAATGATAGCAGGTGGGAGCAGTTGTGTGCAGTGTTTCACGCTCCTTGCGATGAACCCAGCCAACTACGTTTCATTCCTCGAATAACATGAGTGGTGAGTGATATCAGAACCGGTCCTGGCACGGTCCACCCCTTCACCAACAATAACCACTTCTTTATTTATCCATGAAAGCCACAAGGGATCTTTTTTCAGGAAAGTCCTGCACGGGGTTTGAATTGTAATGTCTCAGCCAATTTTGTTTATAGTGTTCATAAGGTATGGGAGGAAACTGGAGCACCCGGAGAAAAAACACACATGGGAGGGGGCAACACTCTATCTCCGTACAGATGGAGCCAGATCCAATCCGCATTTACCAGCATGAGCTATGACCAAACGACCCCCACAACTGAAAGGGTTGTGGGGAGGCCTTCATCCAGCAGTGTCCTTCCCCCCCCCCACCCCCCTGCTGGGTGCATCTCTGCCCGGATCCATTGTGCAGGCGCGCAAATCACTGCACCGCCGCTCCACTTGAAAGCAATAAAACCCCACTGTTAATTATCGCTCATCCCTTTCCTGAACAGGGAGTCATGCTCCAACGCCATGCCGACCTCCGTGAAGGACAACAGTGGGAGCCACGGCTCTCCCATCAGCGGCAAGCTGCACGGCGTCTTCATGAGCTGCAACACGGAGTTTAACACGGGCCAGCCGCCGACCGACTCGCCCTACGGCCGCTACCGCTTCGAGGTGACGGCCGCCGAGCTCTTCAGCCCCAGCACAAACCTCTACTTCGCCGACTTCTACTGCATGTACACGGCGTATCACTACGTGGTGCTGGTGCTGGCTCCCGAGGGCTCGGAGGGCGACCTCTTCTGTCGCGAGCGCCTGCCGCTGCTCGACCCGGCCACCAACCGCTTCCTGACGCGGTCCGTGGCGCCGTGCGCTGCCGAGGGCGCCGATGGGGATGCCGGTGACGGCGAGGCGGTGTATCACCATGCACAGGTACGGCCACGTCACGCCCGCGGCCTGTGGATGTGAGAGCGCAGGGTGAAGGGCTGGCGGCTGGGAAGAGAGGTGCAGAAAATCAACGCTCAAGAGCGGTACTTATGGGGTGGCCTTTTATCGATAGCGGCATGGGCGGCGGTGCAGGAGCGGAAGGGAGGCACATGTCTCTTGTGATCACCAGTGGAGGCATGCAATGACTTCTCATACAGCAGTGCCTTCCACTACAACCACATATACTCCAGTCACACAGTGACTTCTACTACAACCACATATACTCCAGTCACACAGTGTCTCTTACTACAGCCACATATACTCCAGTCACACAGTGACTTCCACTACAACCACATATACTCCCGTCACACAGTGTCTCTTACTACAGCCACATATACTCCAGTCACACAGTGACTTCCACTACAACCACATATACTCCAGTCACACAGTGACTTCCACTACAACCACATATACTCCCGTCACACAGTGTCTCTTACTGCAGCCACATGTACAACTGTCGCACAGTACATCGTGTTTTTGTACCTAGGCCAGAACATTATATTCGTACCAACATTCTTAACGAGCCATGAATTCATCGCCAACTTTGTTCAATGCCTCAGTGAAAGGGGCCACAAAGTTAAATTGCCGAATGACGAGGCTGTATGACGTTTTGCTTGGTGCGCTGTCTGTGTGTGAGCCAAGGAAACATTGTACCATTTATCCGGTGCCACCTCTCATCTTTCTCACCATGCATTAATCATCCTGGATCTAGTTTACGGAGTACGCTGTGTTTTTCTGCTCGACAATTTACTGCGCAGAATTTACCACCACATCTGCAATGTCACTGACAGCATAACGTCCATTGACGAACCCTCGTCGGTAATGGGTGCAGTTATTTGGCGGAGCTAAATAACGCCTTTTTACGTCCTGCGCATATGTTATATCCTTTGGAAACACTTCAAAAACAGAATTATAGCAGTAGTTTAGAGGAATATGTAAACCCGAAAAGATTTACAGCTCTAGTATATACACACACATGCAGACTCTTGTTTCTCAACGTTGACCAATATGAGTCTCTATCATGATGTTACTGCATGGACTTTGTTGTCAAAATGTGCTGCATTAATATCACAGAGATCTCATCAGAAAACTATGATTACATGAAGCTACGACTTAGAGTGTAATTAGCCATATTTCTGACTATTGTCAGACACACACAACATGGGTGTTTATCTACAACAGACAATTGTTGTTTTGGTTTTGTATCTTCCGCTAACCAAAAAAGTTATCTCACCATGAGCTGGACAAACACAAAAGCATGCTATCATTCACAAAGGGTGACCTTGGTTACATAAAAGTTCGCAACATAAATGTTAAATCAACGAAATTGGTAGACAACCAAATAAACTGGAGCAGAAAAAAGTTTAAAGTGATGATTTAACATTGAAAGAATGGGTCAATTTGGACAATGATTAATTAGACGTAATTTAGATCAAACGTTACATAAACAACAAAATGTGTTATTTAACTGAAGTGCAATTACTTAGTGTGATGCATTAAAGGAGAATAAGGATTGCCCAACCACAGGTATTTCCTCTGTGAACAGTACACTGCAGTCTTGTAGCCGTGTCTTCGGTCGCAACGATTTTAAACCGGCAAAACAACCCGAGTGAGTGCCGGGTTCACCACGACGTTTTGCCGTGTGCCACCAGGACGTGATATTGGAGGTGATCTACGCGGAGCCGCTGGACATAGCCAGGGGCAAGCTGGGCCAGATCAAAGGCCACCAGCTCATGAGCCTGTCCACAGCCAACGCCAAGAAGGACCCCAGCTGCAAGATCTGCAACATCAGCGTGGGTCGGTAAGGCCATTCCTGCCGGTGAGGCAGCCAGCCTGCCCGCCCGCCCGCCCGCCTGCCTGTCCTCTCCGTCCGGTTTCTCCATCCGATGCCCGCCCTGCTACTACCCGTCTCTCCAGATTCAAGTGCGTCCGGCATGAGGTGGCGACGAGGGCTCGAGTAGCGCCAGGTTTGTAGCCGTCAACATCGTTGTTGTTAAAACGGGTTTTAACCTCTTGACGGTCACTCTGTGAAATGCTCTCACCTGGTGGGAGTCTCCAGCCTGGTTATATTTGCCCGCACGACCATTCTCTTTCCAACGAACACAACAATCTTTTTTTTCCCACGACAGATGATACAATGACAAAGGCAGGAGAACGTGGGTAGAATCGAAGGTTTTCTCCGGGTCGCTGGGAGGGCTGTCAGATGTAAAACCTGTAGATTTAAGGCATGGGGATGTGATTTTTGGTGTGAGGATGTGGTTCAGACATGGTGTGGTGACCGTTTTAGGGGCTGGTCAGTCGGTGGGTTTGTGGTGCGGTGCATTCAGGCCGAGCGGGCACGGCTGTAGGACGAAAGTTGATCTGGCTCTCGCGAGACAGCCACTAGGTGGCATGCACCTCACGCGGAGAGGATTTTTCCACCGCTCACAAGAGCCGGACACTGATTTTTTTTTCCCAATTTAAATAACATAATTGTTAACCAATGATTATTTAAACACTTAGGCACTTGCACAACATCGTACTTTTACTTTTAAATATTATATAATTTGCACACTTCTGTGGTTTGCATTATTCAGCTATTTAATAAGGCGAAGCGTAAAAGATGTTTTTTTGTTCCAAATGTTTAACAGTATTGTATTCGAACAAATGAACGGTGAACTGTCCTTTAGCCTATTATAGTCAACAAATATTGGCTCATATCACTGAAAAGTGTATTCATCTATGGCGCTTCACTATTATTTTTAATGGAGGTTGAATGTGTACTAGTAAAGTTCTGGATATTTTGGTTTCGTGGCAGGGTTTGATGAAGTGCATGATGTTTTCTGTAAACACCTACAAAAAGATGGCAATCTACTAAACATGCAGGACACACGCCTGTCACTGCCAGGGCTTAACAATTACGGTGACCTCGTCCACCATTATAACACCTATTTAATCAAAAGAGCATGCTTGTGAAGTTGGTCAGTTGCACACCATAGAGAGTGTTGTACTGACTAACTCAGTAGTTAAGCACAGGAGCGTCTCTGCGTATGTTACTAAATGGAAAAAAAGAAGAGATCTAAACAGAAAGTCCTGTTAAACAGTAGCGTTGAGAAGCATGAAAGTTATTTACATCATTGTTAATCGGCATTGCTAAAGTATAAGAGCTTTACATATCAGAATATGGTCTATCTAAATGAAACTGTTTTAGCTTATGTAAACTATCGTAGTTTGGCTTCCGTTGTAGAATATTGCTTTGGAGACGTAGTTAATGCTCATATCTCTGGGGGGGGGGGGGGGGGATAACAACGACGCAGTCACGCGCGACCAGGCGTTGTCAGTGTCACCAGAAGAGCTTAATCTCACTCAGCGTGCGTGCATCGCTTGGGGAAACACCTCTCGCCCCCCCAACCCCCAACTCTAACCGATTGCGTGCAGGAGGATCGGACGGGCCAGGCTATAGTCAGCGTTTGAGCCTCCTCTCTCAGAGTGCGCAAAGTGAGAATGGAAAAGCACTCGTAAAAGGCACGTTATGATAACCGACGGTGTAAAATTAATCGGCATTGTGATATTAGTCGAGTCCGATGACAACTTGTGGAATTTTTGTCAAGACTTAGTCTGTGGATTTCATTTAGTAATTTTGTTCATCTAGTCACGATTTACTCGAGATGTTAAATGACTAAATGAAATCCACAAAGATGTCTAAAATTGCACAGGTTGCCATCTGCTAGATTAAGACTAACGGACTAGAATGTTGACCAAATTAACACAGCGCATAACAACTAGGCTGAAACATTGTCGCTGCAGCGCCGCCGAAGATGTCCGATCGTTCGGTGTCGCCACTTCAAGTGATGCGGTGCTTCATCCGCGTCACCCCCATGCTTGTTCCGAGCCTGCAGCAGTCCCACCGAGTGCAGTGAATCATATTTAGCGAAAGAGCATTGGCATGTACTTGCCATCGTGAGCTCTCATTTATTGTGCGTTTTTTTCGTGCATTAAGTTCCGCGCGTGCGCTATACGTCGCTGGCTGTGGTCATGTTTCAACTGTACTGTAGTGCGTGGGGCAATAAATGTTGTTTGGAGTACGTGTCTCGAGGCTGTCATTTGTCGTGAGTGCAACACGCGGCACCTACTCATCTCGACATGCACATCGCAGCACCACGCCATGTGTTGCGGTGATTAAGAGCATGCGATTCACATTGTGAGGTTACTAGTCCAAATATTGGTACGGAGGAATCATATAAGTCTAGCTCCTGATTGGAAGTAGATTTCTACTTACCACATGTACACATACGGCCCTTTGTCAATCCACTGTTGGATGCGCGCTGGGTGGGTCGTAGGGATTATTTAATAATACAGGTAGTCCCCGACTTACGATGGAGATGCGTTACGACCCCATCGTAAGTCGAAAATATCGTAAGTCGAAAATATCGTAAGTCGGGGACTACCTGTACTTAACTTTGGGCAATGGGATTTCCAACGGTGGGGAGCATGCCGAATGCTGTTCATGCCTTATCGATCGAATCGTTGTTGGAGAGTAGTCATCCAATTTCCAAAGTCTGCTCTAACAATGATTGCCTCGGAGGCATGCCTTCCTCCATCCTGTAACTTTGTCTCTTGGATAACATCGATAACACTCCAGCCATCTTCTATTCTGAATTTAAACATTTATTTTCTCGATACTTTCATTAAAATGTATGCACAGGCAAGACGCTTCTTTTTGAGTTGCTTTAGCAAACTCCCAACTTATTCAGATCTGGGACTTTCTGTAAATTGAGAAAGCCCATAATGGCAGGAGACTTTGTGCAGGCTGGACGCAATTAGATTTAATAAAACACAAAGCTGTGCTGCACACAAACAGTAAGGAAGGCACAACTCCCATCACCACATGGCATCTACAATGCTCTGAAACTTGTCTATTGGGATGGCCAGTTTTCAACTCAAATTGACTTGGTGGCCTCACCATCAACACAGCCCCACGCTCGGTTTCCAAGCTGGTGGCTTAGACAGGGCTAAGAGTGCATTATATGCGGTGGTCACATGACGTGCATGCAAGGCATAATGGGAGTTACCTCCCTGCTGTTTGTGAACAGAACACATTTGTATTAAATATAAAGTCCAATTGTCTTATTCTTATTGCATTACATCTGCCTTAAACACCCATGACCACGTGCTTGTCTAATAATTAATAATTTCTGCATAGCCCTTGCTACATGCTTGTTCTCTAATTATTGTATTGATACAATTGATAGCTGCAGAAAGGTACACGCTCTGAATATGATTAGGCTCTGTCTTGGAAACACTGACAGCTCTGTTATATATATATTTTTATTGCATTAAAGACTTAGGTCAAACACAAAATCTCAGCGAAAGTTTAATGATGATGCCGCAGCCGCCGCCACCGCAAGCGGCCGCGCCTCCGCCATTAACGTGCTCAGCAAACACGAGCGACTCCGATAACGCAGAAAAAAAGTGATCCGTGCCATTTGCAATTAATGCCCTTCACAATGGAATGACGTGAAAAGACGAGAACACGCAACAAAATGTCGAATATTTAACATACAAAAATACCCTCTTCAAAGTGCCAAGAGCTAAAGTGATCTGGAAGAGTTTAACTTGGGGTATCAAGTGTGTTCTATATTGTCCTTATAAAAACAGCTGATTAAGCTGCAGCAGAACCTAATGCGATTACATATTGTAACACTCCACCACTTATGTCCAACCGCAGCAGAATATTCACCGTTGTGCACAGCACAAGACCCATCCCACAATGCTGCGCTGCCTCGATCCTCCGAATTTAAATTTTGCGCACAAAAATTAATCTGAGGATCTTACAACATGCAGTCTCGACAGCCTCTACAGTGTCTGCTGCAGCCTTGAAAAAAAAGGCACATTTTCTAATGATGTAAGTCTCAATGCATCATTACGGGGTGGGGGTTCTTTGCCTTTAACACCAAAACCTGTTCTTCACTAGAAAATAAAACCTTCACGCATGCTTGGAGATGAAAACCTGCGTTGCGCAATAAGCAGATACGTTACCTCGGCGAAGGTGTTTGAACAGCCCGAGGACTTGGCGTTCCCATGCCAATCGGCAAAGTGGGTGTTCAAGAGGCCTGAAGCTTTGATTCAAAGTACCCCTTCTCCTCCTCTGTCCGTACTACACAAGTGAAAGTGTGCACTCGCTCTTCAAAGTTGTCCCCTACAGGTTGCGAGGGCAGGCCACTCTTCCATGGCCTGGTCTAACGATCTGGGTGTGCACTCCGCGATTAACAAAGTGGCGTTTGCTCGTCAGAGGTGTGCATGCATGGCCCAAGCGATGTAGAATTCACAGGGATACAAATAAATAGAATCAGATGATTCCTTTAGCACACAGACATGTTACAATCATTGGACATGGCCCATTTTGGCCATTTAAAAGCATCTCCAGATAACTAACACCCGCGCTTCACACCCATCCAGTTTTAAGACTTGTTTTTGCAAGTTTTTCTATTTCAGAAAACCTGCTTCTAATAATATTTTTGTCTCATTTTTTGCTTCATAAAGGAGGTAACAGCATTACAGGGTGTCCATTGAGGTGATTATTATAAATACATATATAATTGGTCAATAGCTTAAATAAAGTCAATAAAACTCGACACACTTAATAGAGTGAGGATTTACAAGTTTCATCCCTTAGGTTCCACGTGTCCACCAAAGGCAATGACATCGCATTGAAACTTGAGTCTCAAGTGTTTGCCCACATATCAGCTGCAATTGCATCCATCATGTGCTGATGAAAATTACTCAAGTTTTTTTTTTTTGCAATAACTTTACCTTTCACGTAATCCATGCAGCTCAAAATTGCTGACTGTAGTTGTTCAATAATGGATGATACCTCAATGGACACCCATGTACATGAAAGACTCTTGTGTTTGGCTGTTGCGTATTTTCTCAGCCCTTGTTGGTTTTCAAAGAAAATAAAAGTCCTTTCAAAGAAAATAAAAGTCCGTTAAATCTGACAAGTCACAATAGCTGACGCAGCATTACGGTCAGAAACACACCCTGTCTTGAAAAGACGTAAGCTATCAAAGTCTTTGCAGCTTGTTGTTTTTATTTTATGGCTTCTACAACCACCAATCTGTAAAGTAATAAATAGTGCATTGCATAATCTCAGTTGACGTCAAACAGGGCTGGCAAATTCTTGATCGTGGCCAGTCGTAACTTAATCTGTAGACATTCCATCAACCTCGCTGGATTACGTCAATACGATTTCGACCAGCCAAGTGCTGCGTCGACAGATGGGCCTCCAATATCTTGCTGCAAGTGGTTTTGGTGTGCATAGCCCATCGCGGGAACCCATCATAGCTTCAGACACAACCGATGTCGCAATGTCGAATGAAAAAAAACCACCTCTTGCTTGTAGAAATTAATTTGTTTTTTTACCATTCATTTGTTTTCAGACCTTCTTTCCTCCACGTAGTTTTTAGAAATACAACCTGCATGCAGTTCACATCTCCAAACTCTTGTGTGGATACCCCAATACAAAGCCTTAAGTAGTAACTGGGGGGTGGGGGCATCTGGCTTTCTTGGGCACGTATCTTCATTGTACCTGCCATGCACCCACCTACCCTTCTACCCACGTAACGGGGGGGGGGGGGGGGGGGGTGACATCGTGTCTCTCTCCCAGGGATCCGCTGCTGAGTTTTTCCTTCGTGATTTTATTTCATTTATTTTTCTCGATGTTGAAGCGGGGCTCGCGATCCTCACGAGCTGCTCGCCGTACCCCCGCGACATATGCGTGGCGAGGGCGGAACGGGGGTCCAGGCCGTGCAGTACGCACGCACGCACGCGTGCAGCATCATACGCCCTTGCAGGCGTCGTGCTTGGTGATCAGTGCCTCCAGCAGTCGCTGCTTGGCCTTCACCTGCTTGTACTCCTTGTACTCGTCCTCCATGGACAGCCGGTCCTCCTTCTGAATGTTCCTGCAGAGCGAACGAGATAACACGGAGATTGTAATGTTGGGCCCCTACACTGCTGCTAACCTGTACCCCGATATCGGCAACATTCCTGCTCAGCTCATCCAAAGGCTTTGCATTCATAATTCCACAACTGTGCCTACAACATAGGCCTGGTTACGTTTCTTGCATTGACCATATCCTGTGAACATTCCTGTGCAGATAACTGTGTTAAGTTTCACAGCTACGTATATTCTGCGCGGGTTACACCTCTGTATATCTTAATGACTCAAGTGGAAAGTATAAGCATGACAACATGAGCTTTGCATGTAGCATGCAGGCCTTCCTCCTAGATTTTGTAAGCCAAGTGCAGGTGACCCCCGACTTACGACGGCTCCACTTGCTACCCCCCGCTTTGACGACCTTTCTTTAATTTTTTGTAAATTATTTTTATTGATACAACCACAGGGAGGGGGGGTTGTACAACTTCCACAACAGCTGAGTGGTGCATAGCGGGATTGGCGGCTCAGATAGACAACCAACGCGGACGTGTAGGACCATAGCGTTATGTGGTACGTGCGTCAGATCCATTTTCTTTGAGGAAGGAAGGGGAAAAGATGGGGGGAGGGAGTCGGTCTCATTTCAAGTTCAATCAAGTAAACTCGGGGTCTCTGGAGTGGCATTCACGAGGCATTCAGTTTCAGACTCGGGTGTTCTAAAGCAGTTATGGCGAATAGGGAGTTATTCCAGAGGGTGAATGAGGGAGCCCCATGATTCTTCATGGAGCTCGGAATGGTCTTTCTAACTGAAATGTTAAATGCTTGGAGAAGGGTGTGGTGGTGCCTGTTTTCGACCTTATAGTAAGATCCCCACAGTAACGACCAGAACTCGTATCTACGACCGCCTAATGACTGCTACCGACGCCGAGTCGATTGGTGACAACTTTTTTCCCGCCTTTCGCTACGTATAAAAAGAGGAAATGTGATACACACGCTGAAAAGTACATATGCATTTATGTTAATGTTTGTTTTTACTTAATAAATGTGTGTAATAGTTATGTTAAGTAACAATAAACGTTTGTTCGGGTTATTGCCATTTATTTTCGTGGTCAATTTTGGTATTTTTATTGTATGTCATGGGTTTCCAGGAACGGAACCCCAATGTGTAACATTGCGCCCCACGGGACATGAGGGTTCGACTTACGACGACCTCGACTTGTGGCCGCCGTACAGGAACCAATTAGATTGTAGGTGAAGGGGTCGCCTATAGTGAATCTGTGACTAAATAGCAAAATCATCTCCTCCTGAGGGCTTTAAAAATAACATTAAAGACATTGTTTATTAATTGTATTTGCTAGAAGCTATTAGGTTTGTTTCTCTACAGGAATTAATTGGAAGTTGTAAATTGTAAACGTTTAGCCTGTGAAATATCAGCAGGTATGTGAGATTGTAATTAAAGTTAAAGTTATCATTCACCCACACAACAGAATATGCCAGTGAATAAGGAAATGTTACAAACATGTTTTCATTACTTCATTATTAGGCATGCAATAATTAATCAATTCATTGAATACAATAGGTTCTCTGCTGATCACGATACACGTAAATTTCTCAGTAAAAAAAGTATCATATTTACAAGTTGGTGCAAAATATATGCGCATAATAGCTTTAGGCTAATGTAAAGAATGAGTGAGAACAAGACAGAACCAAACAGATAATAACACATTCCTGCGGAGGGAGCTGGTAGGAACGTTGGGTTGCTCGGTCAATGGTCAGGGTCAACGGAGGCGTGGTGTATTCCGCAAATATGCCCAACTGTGAGGGCGGGCACAAGCCGGCGTGAGTAGGTTAAACGTTGAGTTTTATAAGGGCACCACGGGGTGACCAGCCCCTCCCCTCCCCACCCAGCCCCACCTCTCCCACCCAGCCCCTCCCCTCCCCACCCAGCCCCTCCCTGCACGACGGACACAATAATACCCTGTGGGCTGGTGTAACCAGGAGGTTCCTACCAGTATAAATGGGACAATACCAATTATACAACACAGAATCGATTCTGTAATCGAATCGTAAATTAATCGTGACTGTTCATGGATTTTAGGGGGGGGGGGTGAATCAATCTATGTCTACAAAATACTGAGACCAGGCCTCACACACGCTTAACTCCGAATGCCATTTTTGAGTTGAGTTTTCTAAAAGCACCTGACTTGCCTTGCATTTTGTCTGTAGAAGTGGTCCTCAAAGTCACGCAGGGTCTTCCGAAGATGGCGCTTTTCTGCCTTCGTCTCCCTCAGCTGCTCTAGGAGCTCGGAGCTAAGAGACAAACAAAAACGTCGCATCGTTAATACGAGTCAACTGACCTTTTGAACAATGGTACAGACTTATATGTCTCCCTCATTGTTGTCTCACTCAGCTGATATAAAAACGAACACCTAAAGTAATTTGTATTCGTCATATTCTCACGCAGTTACGTTGTTGGCAGCAGAAGACTGTGCAATAAAATCCTTTGTTGTGCTATGCCTCTATGCTCACAAGACAATGCCACCTGCCTTCAACCCATACTAATGGTGTAGTCAAAGTGTCCAAATCAAAACCTAATGGTTGCGAGTTAAAATCTTGAACACGGGTTGTCTATGATCACGATGATCAAAATCAGCACAACCTTTAGGCTTACACCGGTATGCGACACTCACAGCGAGAGCGAGTGGACGTTGGAGATAGCACTGCTCATGCCGGATGCCTCCTCCATGAGTGGCGCGTACCCCTCCGCATCGCTCTCGTCCTCCGAGTGGCTCAGGAAGAAGAGTTGACCCCGACAATCCCCATCTCTTTCGGGAAGCTCTTCCTCCACCTCCTCTCCCACGTACTCTCCTTGGTCTTCCATGGACCCTCCCTCATTTTTTCGTTCCTTGTCCAAAGCCGTCCATCCATCGGGACATCCCCGCTGCACGTTGCCAGCATCCTCCATCTCCTCCTGCAAGCGGGATGATTGGAAGACAGGTAAACAGGAAGGCAGCTGTAACACACGCTCAAATGCAAGTCACCGCTCTTGACCGACCCTTGGCGGGAGTCAGCCATTCAACCCTAAGCCTGACCGCATGCTCGTGCCAAAGCAACTCGCGTGACATGTACCCTGGGTGGCTCTCACATGTTTTCCCACGCAATAACAAATGTATAATTGGCTTGTGTTACATCAGCGAGTCGCGTACGTAGGTCGAATAATGTGACCTTCATTCCACTGTGGTCAACAGCTGCAGCTTCACGACATTAACCTTGGTCGTTACTTGAAGCTGGATGCGTTAGGCGGGAAAAGATGAGTACCTTAATGTCGTCAGAGAACTGTGTGGTCTGTCCTTCGATGATTGGTCTGAGTAGGATGTGACGACGCAGGCTGGCGGGGGAGCCCTGCAATGAAAGTGCACAAGGAGAAAAATGTCAGCACCGAGTTGCCATTGATGGCTCCTACACATCACAATGCATACACATCACAATGCGTGCACATCTAATTCTTATTTATGAACTGATTATGTTTGTTTATCCAACAAGGCCTCACTGAATCTCATGACTCTTTTTTAAGAGGGTCCTCCAAATATATTTTTTAGTAGCGGGTGATGATTATTAAGTGTATCTCAATTGATAACTTTATGGGTAATCTTTCAAATTTTGAAAATTTGGACCACGATGTCGTCACACAATGGCCTCCTCTTGTTAATGGTGTTACGGCATCTTAAACATGCACTCTGAAGCAGACGGTGCATACTTTTGGTTCATACAAATCGCGGTAATAACCAGGGAGGCCACCGGAGTGAACCGTGAGCCTCTGCAACAAGCTACGAATGCACTACCACTAGGCCACATCACCTCCGTACTTTTGTACTTATGCTTGCAAATATTTGTGCGGCATCTTGGAATGCGATCACGTACAGATGATACACACATTCACATGGTACTGTAATTATAATGAGTTTGTTTTGTAAAAAAAAAAACAGTTTTAACATTACTCAAGGTGCTGCAACACCTTGGGACACAGGAGTGCTAAACTTTGATTGGGTTGCTATTCTGTTTAATTATTTTCACTGGCTTTAATTGCTGTTCATTGTAGCTGCCTGTGCAGATTACTGAGTGTAGTATAAATAACCTCAAATGGGATAAATATTCAGAAATGCATTGAACGAGAGCAAAAATGAGAATTCGGGTGGCGGTGGTGTTTGGAGATTAGTCCATTGTTATAATCAATCAGTCCATCCGTCCACATGAAACTTTGAGTACAGTTTCATGTGCACAAAATACTATAAACCAGGGGTCTCCAACCCCCGGGCCTGTTTGGAACCGTGCCGCACAGCAGGAGGTGAGAGCGGTGAGTCCGCGCGTGGCCCACCCATTATTTACCACTTCCATCCGCGCCTCTTTCCCGCACTGCGCACTTGTCTCAGTCACAGTTTTGGCGAGCCCACAAGCTGCTAACCCTGGCCAAGATGGGTAAAAAAAACAAACGTCGCTGGAGAGCTTCTTTGAACAGGGGGAAAGACCCAATGATGAAGGCCCCCCCCCCCCCCCCCCCCCCCCCCCCCGGTGCGTGAAATCGGTCCCTGGTGCCAAAAAGGTTGGGGACCGCTGCCATAAGCAATACCCAAAAGCATTTAACGCATTATGCAATTTACAACATATGACACCAATTGCAAAACTGTTATAGCGACAATAAAAGTTTTAAACTTTGACAAAAATCAGTTGTTTCCCATTTACGGCTATTGCATGCCAGGATGACACATTGTCACATGCAAGCTGAGCTGCACACCGAGTTATTTTAAAACGCCATGCGTCTCTGGGACGATTATCAAAGGAACATTCCAATTAATATCTCGTGGCGCACTTTCCAGAAGAGACACGCAGATGAGAATCTGGCACAGATGTAGGTTTATGCTGATGAGAAGCCAATGGTGTACACACTTTGGAGTTGTGTCTGAATGGAAGCTGCGTCTCAAAATAAGCTGTCATCAATAATACAAATGAGCCACAATATGAGATGGTAAAACAGCAATGTCCTTTGTTTTCCCAGTTATAGTCAAGTAACATGTATGGATAGTTAACTGTCGATTACCCATGGGTGAATTAGTTGTGGATTAACGGAGCTTGTGAAAAAAGTGATACATGTGTTACGTGGACACGAGTTTCATTGTAAGTCACTCCTCACTCGTCGAGGCGAAGTAAAAATGCTCACGTGAATGCAAGCAAACCGATTACGCTTAAGAAGCAATAAAACAGGTGAGACAATCTACGTTTTCAACCCCATTCTACGAAGTTAAACAATAAATACGTTTCCATACCCAAATATAATACATTTTGCATTATCTTTGTTTTTGTTTTATACAGGCCACCTCTTCTCCCATGACACTGAATGACTGAGAATTAACTGTACCGCCAAACTCAAAACAGCACTAGACTGGGGCAATGCAAAACTACTTTGGAGGCCGAGAGCCAATGGTGCAAACTCCACATTGCCTCGACAGGGCCCAGTGTAATAGGACAAATACCAACTGTAGGGAGTAAACGGGTATCCTGACCCAGAGATGCTGCCCTCCCCATTAAGAGTATCCCTTTTTGCCTCGTTTTTGCTGAACACAGTAGGAATGGAGGCTGGGGTGGAGGACTCGAAGTCAGACATTGAACCACCATAGCAAAAATCTGATCGTCGTTGCTCTCAGGGGGGAAATGGAAAGGAAAAAAGGCTGATCTGGATATAGCATTTGTTATTTTTCTCAATTTAATTGGGTAATATTCCACACCCATCCCCCCTTCCCCTTCCCCGTTCTCCCCCTTCCCTAGTTAACCCACTGCTCCCAGCCATTATCCCTACTATTGTAGAGTGCTGAACGCGGGTAACTTTAAATCGGCCCCCATTTGTGGTAGAAATACTCAAGAGGTTGCGGCTGGACCGAGCATGTTGTGCACACGTGGAATGTATCCCCGGTGCGAATTCTGTTCAAGAAGTAGAACAAATAAGAAGTCTCCCTTCTCTGGCTTTGCCTCTACGCCCAACAGGAGTCACTGCTGCCACACTCACGATGATTGGGAAATTGCGCGAGCGTGTGAGGAGCTGCTTCACCATGCGGTAGCGCTCGTACAGTGGCTTCAGCAGCTGCTTCTCCTGCTTGCTCACCTGGGAGGAGAGAGCAATGGGGAATTCAGTACAACACGCGCCCTGTAACATGGCACACATCTGTTCTTTTAATATCCGAAAGAAAAACCATCTTATTTTTAGAACAAATAACAAAACTTAAAACATTCATCGATAATAATGCACTAAGAGGGAAAATATATATATTAATAAAATAGGTGATGTTTTAACAAATGTTTAATGTTTATAAGCCACGCTCATTTATAACTTTCAGCTCGGGTTCAATTTATTTTAATTTTCTATAAATGTATTCGCAATTATTCTTTGCCAATAAAAGTTGGTTTTACATACCACTCCGAAATTGTCAGAGTAAACATTGCAGCCCTCTCCCTGGTATACATGTTCTGCCACAGCAGTTACCGGAGTCTGCGAGTATTCATTGCACCTCTGATGCTCGTTCATGCGAACACTGAACTTTCATACTGTCTGACAAACATAGCACTTATACTCTTTGGTTTTTTCGGTAAAGTCACGTAGGCAAAAAATAATAAAAATGAAAACAACTAAATTAAATCACAAATTAAATCAATACAAATGAGAACTAAATTTTAGTTGTTCTCATTTTTTAATCATTCATTATTTTTATTTAATTGATTTAATTTGTGATTTAATTTTGTTGTTTTCATTTTTATTATTTTTTACCTATGTGACTTTACTGAAGTCATGAAAACTTCAAATCTAGAATATGGCACTTGCCACAAGTGCACATAATGTGATATACACTGTCGAATGACAATTAGAGCAAGCTATCTCTAACTGGTGTTAACATATGCTGTATTTTATTTAGTGCCAAATCAAATTTTTATTTCATGTTCATTTATAAAGCTAGCAATTTGATTAGTGAATCCACCAATAAACGGGTAGTTAAATTGTTTCAACAATTAGATCTGTTATTTATTTATTTATTTTGCTATTATTACTTAAATCTCGCAATTGTTCTGGTTTATTATAGTAAATATTATCTTTAACACACAAATTTAGCCAGATCATGATGTAGCCTCACCCAAAAATAAATTATGAATCATTGAGGAATGTGTTCAGTTTCTGATTTTTGCTCATAGACCATTGCAATTTTAAGTGTGTTAATATATATGGATTATGATAAAAAAAAATTATATTTATTATGAAAATTATTTTTAGCGGTGATGACATGACCAAGTAGTAGTGCATTCGCCACTTAATGCAGAAGTTCACAGTTCAATTCCAGAGGCAACCCTGATTAATACGGTGGGGGTATTAACCATCATAATACTCGCCTTCTGCTTCATAGTGGATGTTAAAGATCCCCTGGCATTATTCTCAAGAGAAGGCATCAGGGTCCAAATTTGCCAAATTAAAAAATGACCTACAACTGACTAATTTGATATTACACTGCAGCAATCATTGCACCCTACTGGCAGACTGATGCCTGTTTGCAGGCCATGTCCTGAGTCACCTTTTGCCCACAGAGACAGCTGCTCTTGGGGGTCCCCTTCCAAATGTTAGAGATGAGATGTGATGTACAGCGCTGCGACAGCCCGGCATATAGGTTGCTATATTATCAATGTTATTACTTCTTAACTTCATTTGACACTCACCGGCCTTCCGTGAACATTCTCGAATTGCAGCAGTCCTTTCTGCAGGGCGGTTTTTTCAGCTGCAATTTGATCTCTGGTCATGGCCTGCAACATTCATAATGGTTAAAGTTAAGATTCATTTTTTAATCAATTAATCTGCAGCTGCTAAGTTGATTATTAAATCGTGGAATCGTGGCTTGTGGAGGTCTTCATCCAGCAGTGGATGACTATGGCTGAATAATTTTATGTCCTATACACTGCTGGATGAGAGTCCTCCCCATGCCATGTAAGTGGTAGGGGTTAGCTGATTAAACTTTACCACTCAGGTCAGCTGGTGAAGGGGCAATGTTCAAAGTGATCACCAAACCAACAGCAGCACTCAAGGGATTTCAGGATTAGTAACTCTGACAATGAACAAAGTCATGCAATAGTATGCTTCTCTCACTATACTATTGCCTATCATGTGTTATGATTAAGACATTTCCAAAGCCACATGGGGCCAGGGCTCACCGTCACGTCCTCAGGCCTCTGCTCCTCATTGCGCTTCTCGCAGATTCTCTCCATGATGCTCTGCAGCGTCATGGCCATGACCTCATTTTCAGCAGCCTTCCTGCTAAGCTCCTCCCCGGCCTCCTCAGCAGACTCCACCTTCCCATGGCAGGTCCGGCAGCCCGAGTCCACGTGTCCCCGTGAGCCAAAGCTCTTGGGTAGCGTGTTGCTTCTCCGTCGCGTGTTCGCATCGACGTTCTCCTCCACGGACTGCTGCAGCTTCAGCTCTGCTTGACGTGCGCACGCGCGACACAAAAAATAGTGCCGCTCAGCACCAGCTCGGGCTGTAGCAGCGCCCGTGACTCATCCATCTGGGTCTATTACAGTTACAATACAATGTGGATTAAAATAGCATCTCAATGCCATCACATCCAAAGAAACAGTAGGCATATTTATTTATTGTATATAAAGTAAGATGCAGTCAGTTATAGCCAGAGGTAAAAATGAAGGCCTTGCACCTGTAGGCATAGACTTTAACAGGGAGCCAACAGCACTGATAGTTTGGAGAAGGGAGTTCTCTACTGTAGGGCCGAAGAGGAGAATGAGCAACCTCCCAATGACCAGAAGGGTGACTGGCAATTTCAACAGAAGTCTTTGGTTGCTGGAGTGGAGAGTGAGTAGTGGGGAATCCAGAGAGATGAGTGTGGAGAGGTAAGCAGGGATTAGTCTATGGAAAATTTGTAAGATGGTGTGATCTTAAAATTGATCCAGGATTGATATGGGAACTCATGCGGATGGGTGGTGCTTTGACAGAATGCTCTATATGCAATGTGGAGGATCTGTGGTAAATGCAGCTCAACCCATCAGCATGCAGCCAGGATTGATAAAATAAGTAGTAGTACCTTGTAAGAAGTCAACAGTGGTTGGCCTATCCAGACTGGAACCTAATCTCAGTGCCAATTAGAAAATTGCAATTCTCATGAAAGCAAGGACATGCTTTTACTTTGATTTGTTTATTGAAATGTTGCACCCTAATGTGTGGAAGTAGTGAAACATACTGCTGTTTTGAAAAACACTGCCACCAATTAGTATTGGTAATGGGGCCTTAGGAATGTGATAATGGGTGTACTAAATTGGCGTGACGTAACTATACATGCGAACAAGATAGGGTTAGCGTTAGAACTACCAAATGCAAAGTGACTGCAGCACCATTTTTCAGAGCAGTGGTGTTTCGCAAGCACAAGCGTACGGTTCTCCTTGGGCATGTAAACAGATATGGAGGATAACAGATTACCATAATTGGCCTTGCAAACAGGAAGTAGGGGCCATCCATTCAACAGGTGGATTGACGGTGTAAAGGAGAAAGGTTTAAAATTAAACATGCAGGGCTGGCTACAGAAAGCAATCGTCATGACCACAGAAAGCAAGAAGTGGAAAGAGTTTTTTGTTCAGTTCATAGTCAGCCGTCATTGTGACGACCAAAGGAAGAAATTTAACCGTGAGGGTCCGATGCTCACCCTTCATCTGCCGGCGAGACTTTGCAAGGTCGTTCATCCACTTAAGCACTTCTGGGGTGGCCGCCTTATCACTATGTGAAGGCTTGGAGGAGGAGGGAGAAGGGAGGAGGAGAAACGTGTTACTAAACAGCACAGTATGAATGTCATGGGAGTTTAACTTCAACAGAAATCTTACATCTACAAGCAATTACGTCTCTTGATTTTCTCAAACTTACTCATCCAGTTGCCTTAACACAGCAACAAGACATTCTATGCACATGGGCTGAAGAATTACATTTTCCAAGATGCAGTCTTCAGCAGCTTATAGCAAAGAACTTCACAAACGCATATATATTAGATTTATTTATTACCAGATGGGAGCCCGTTTATGCATAAGTCCCTGTTGAAAGGTAAACATCACCAGCCATCATCCCTTCTAGTGACATGTCCCACCCAAGGCAACTACATTTTCTTAACAGTCAATAAACGACTAATCCAACAGCCATCACTGATTCTAGCGATGTGTCCCATCAAATACCGACGGACTTGCTAAGCTATAGCACACACAGAAGGTGGGTGACCCACGTGTCCACCATTCATGCGATTATGCTGGAGGTAGCCGAAGGAGCAGCACTCACCATGTACCTCCGCTCCCCCTCAAAACGCTCCTCAAAGTGGTGGATCTTCTTCTTGAGGGCCTGGATCTTGCGAGCGAGACGAACCATTGCTGCCTCATCCATCTCCTCCCGGCACGAGCCCAGCGAGGAGCTTCGTCTTCTGGTTCAGAATGAATACTTATTAAAAACTCGATCTCAGCGTTTACCCTCATACACTCAATTGCAATGAGTATGTAGGTGTAATTGATGGCACCGGTGGAATAGTGCCACAGTGGTTAGCACACTGTGCTGTGAACCTGCCATCCTGTGAACCTGTCATCCTGTGTTTGATTCTTGGCCACGGCTAACAGTGACAAATGATATCTGAACCAGTCTTGACCAATCCCTATTTTTCACAAACCCACACTAACCATCATGGTGAAGTATGGTCAAACAACCCCCACAACCAACATGGTGGGGGGAGGCCTTCATTCAACAGTGGAATGACAAAGAGCTATGGCAATTGAAGATAATAAACTCACCATTCTTCATATGAATATTTCACAATGCCACTACGCATGTTGCGTTCATTCCATTCTCTGCAAATACATGTCTTATCTATGTAGAAATATACGTGAAAGAATTTAATCTGCAATGGTAATTATACAATGAAAATGCACTGACAGAACTAAATTGCCGAGTTACAGGATGGAAAACTGCAACCTTTGTCACTGTCTGTGGCTTAAAAGTACACCAATCACTGGCACACCACCAGCATTATTAAGGCTGCCTTATCCTTTAACAATGTATCCAGCAAAAGCTTTTTGCAGAACAACTCTTTCCTCCGAAAAGCCATTCCCAAAACGCTGGCTTCTTACATTTCTTACATACGAAAAGGCAGTATGAATGATAATGACTTCTGGTGGAATGTTGACAACCTATGTTTATTACACCGACTGCCAAAGTCAGACTCTTTTAGTTCTACATGAAGTTGCAACCTTCCCAGCAAAGATGTCAGGTTCCTACCTAAACACTGACAAATATACACACATTTTGGTAACAATGTCACACAATTGGACGTAGCAATTTAGAAAAAAAAACGCATAAACATATCCTGTATGTATCCATTACACTGGCAACGAAGCATACTAGTCATATGCATGACTAATTAAAGTCGTAACTCAGAAATGATCTATCTCTATTTACACGCTCCTAGGTAACCAGGTGTTAGAAGCCCAAAGGTTAAGCGTTTGCAATTCACCTTCAAAACCCTTGCGAGGGCAACCGGCACATCGCTCGTTAATTAATTCCCACATTGATTAATTGGGTCACTTTTAATGGAAGGCACGCGGAGGCAAGTTCCGCGTGTGGCATGCGCGGAGACGATGACAGAGGCACGTGGTATACTCATTTGTGCACGTATGTACTGCTATTTCATTTTACTCACTGTGAATCATTTTCATGAAGTTTAAATAAATAACTCTTTGGTTATTTCGGTAAAGTCACGTATAAAGATAAAATAATAAATGAAATACTAGCATACGACGTTTCGATTGCAACACAAGCAATCATCATCAGGTAAAAATGAAATAGAGGCACCTATGTTTGTTCTCTCTCTATGTATCTCTGTGATATCTGTCTGCTTATATGCCTGTCTATATGTCTCTGGTTCTGTGTTTTATCTCTGTCTCAAATTTAGCATTCTCAGGAAGAACGTAATCAATCAGGTAGGGTGTTGACTGTTATGTTATCTGACTCTCGGTTGTATTACATTACATTTCTAAGTATACTAGATTTGTGTTTCTGTTTCATTTATACCTGATGATGATTGCTTGTGTTGCAATCGAAACGTCGTATGCTAGTATTAAATTTATTATTTTATCTTTATACGTGACTTTACCGAAAGAACCAAAGAGTAATTCCTGCAGTCACAAAAGCTCCAAATTAAGTTTAAATAAATAACATGACTGGCTAGCAATTATGTGCGTGTGTATGTATGTGTGATTACAGTAAGGCCTCAAATGAGTACCTGTTGCCACTGGGGAGACAAAGGTGGGCAGGCATGGTGCTGGCCACCCACCCCCCTCGTGAGCTGTGTTGGCCTCTATACGTGCTAGCTAACAGCACTTTCCCCAACAGTATGTTAAGGCTATAGAGGGATATTTGTCTTTTTGTGGAATGGGAAGTGGTAGTATCGTTGTTATTATGATGTGCTATGAAATGTGCGACCCGAGTTCGATTCTTGCTCACAACCAAAATCAGTGACAAATATTTGAAGTTCTTCTAGTCCTCCCCTAGGTCGACTTCGACCTTAAATGAGTACCTTGGGAGACAACGATGGCTGGGCATGATGCTAGCCATCCACCCCTTCATGTGCAGTGCTGGCCTTAACAGGTGTTCGCTCAGAACACTTGCCCCAATGGTCTGTTTAGACAAAGACAAACAGTCCTCGTCTTTGTTGTAATACATAACACATTCTTTACCACCTGCCTGCAGACCTTTGTCGCTATACTGTACATGACTTTAAAGCACCCCTAGCTTAGCACAAGCCACGTCGAAACGTAATCACCACTTAGTATGTGTTGTGTAGTTAATGTATTACACTACATTCTCAGCAGGCCGAGTTAGATTAGTTAGCTATCTGTGTATTGGGCCGTCCCTAAGTTGACTCAGACCTAAATGAACACCATGTTACAGTGTATGGACATCAGCACTGGTGAGAAAAATGTAAAGAGGTGGAACTGCCCAAACCACTCATTGGTGTCCATTTCCAGCTTGAATAGGTGCTCACGAACAGCATTTGTTATGTCTATATGACTGTTTAAGAAGGATCTATATGTGTACATGCGCAGTTGTGTGTGAACTGGTCATGGGCCTCCCCTAAGTCGCAATAAATAAAGACCTGGTGCAGTGTGTAACTATGAGCACTGTGGAAACAATGGCAGTCAAACATAGCTGTTGCAACACCACCCCCACGAACAGCACTTGCCCCAACAGCCGATGTAGGCTTCACAAGGGGGACCCTTCTCGTTGTGTGTGTGTGCGTGCGTGCGTGTGCCCATGCTGACCTAACAAAGTTGTGCAGGCTGGGGGGCGATGGGGGGGCCTCGATGTCACAGATAAAGCGCTGCTCCTCCCAGGGGTGGCAGGAGCGGTCCCTCTGGGAGGAAGGTGGCGTGGAAGCGTCTCTGTCGCCGAGCATCAGGCTCGACAGCAGCCAGGAAACGCGAGCTTCCCCGTCACCCTCCATCCCCCCTCTCCATGAGCGGCACGTGATCGGTTCTGAGGACACGGGCACCACGAGCATGTACGTCACACACGCACACGTGAATATATGCACCGACATACAAATGAGCGTACACGCACTTGCAAGCACATCCCCGCATGCACACAAACGCACATGCACAAACACACACACATAAATACAACACGCACAAATACGTACAGGCAAACATTGACATACACACAAAGCCAAACGCACAAATATGAACGAGCAGGGACAAAGACAAAGACCCCCCGTGTTGCCTTAACAAACTGTAGGGGCGAGTGCTGTTAGTGAGCACCTATGAAAGCTGGCACAGCAGACGAGGGGGTGGGTGGTCAACACCACGCCCGACCGCATTCGTCTCCCCGGTGGCGATGTTTTACACACCGCATCAGGTACTTATTTGAGGCTGAGTCGACTTAGCAGAGGCCCAGAACCGATTCAGATAATCGTTACTGGTGTTGGCCGTGAGCGGGAATCGAACTCGGATAACCGCTGCACCACCACTCCCCACAGGGACACATATGCATGCAGACATGCTATTCATGCATGTGCAACCATGCATACAAGATCAAAGGAAAATGTTGTTATCTCTACTATATACATGTATATGTACTTGGAATATTCATTACGTGACATTTGTATTCCACTCATATCTTAAACTGGATGGTCTGCAAAAAGCTATAATTTTTTTAAAATATGCAAATTCTTTGTGCATTCATTCACGGAATTTTTATCCAGCTCAACACAAGCGTCATCTGTCCTATTCGCCACAGTGTGCAGATGGATTTTAATTAACTATTCCCACTAATATGAAAGGAAAACCATAATCCCAAGGCAGTCAGATTCAAGCAATCTGGCAGTTTGTAATATAAAGTTTAAAGCTATATCGGATTATTGCAGTAATTGTGTCGCATAGCCTTTGGCTGCCAAAACAATGTGTCATTTTATGTGGATTATTGCACTGTGGGAGGTGAGTCATGGGCCATATTGATTCCTACGTATTTGATATAGCTTGCTCGATGCTTCCAGAGCGTTTAGCGTCATGTGCAACACACGGCCCTCCCATCACAGAAAAAGATCCCTCTATATCCTTAACAGATTGTTAGGGTAAGTGCTGTTAACGAGCACCTTTTAATGCCAAAATGCACACGAGGTGGGGGGGTGTGTGTGAGAACCACATCCACACCTAAAGGAGACAGGTTCAGATATATGTCAACATAATGTTGACTGTGAGAAGTGGAAATTGAAATTAGGTTTCTGGGTCGGAGGTTATTTCGCTCACCACGACACTACTGCTCCCCACCATTATGGTCGTTCGAGATCACACATACACACAACACAGGTCACCGCATCATGCCTGCAACGCATGCATTAACCCAGTGCTCTTCAGCTGACGCAGAACATTTTCTAAGAATAATCAACAGATTACAAAAGAAAATCCGCATTCGAGGATGTTATTTAAACAAAGGTTATACATTTTGAAATTAAAATGATTTGAATCATTTCTTCTGGGTGAGAGCTTTCCCATGGCATGTCGGCAATAGGTGTGTCTTGACTTGTTCAGATATCACTCACCACTGATGTTATATTAGTGCTTTACCCCCCTTCACCAACCCGTATTTGGGTGAAGTATGGCTAAACGTCCCCCGTGACCGATACGGCATGGGCCTGCCTTCATCCAGCAGCAGATTGACAAAGGATCGTTAATTAGTTATTTATATGCATATGTTATCATTACTTCTGATTATATGTAGAAATGTATGCATGGGTACGTGTTAAGTTCTATATAAATACTGCATTACATGCTATATTATATGAACAATCTATTACTTGATACAAAAACACACACGTACATACATAAGCATCAATGCAGATTACTTTAATATTTTTGGAATTGTGTTAATTGGATAACGCAATTATGTTCGCGATCTAGACGCCAAAGGAATGTTGCTTTTTTGTAAAAAAAATTCATTGTAAAATACATATGATGAGTGTTGTCTGATTCGTATCACCATAGTTATTATAATAGCTTTATTATTAAAACACTGTGAAGGGTATGACCGCTGACTAACAGAGAGTTGAAAGTTGATAATAAATTCTGAATGTGAGACAAATATTTTTACTGTTATTTTTTTAGATATGTACCGAGCATTTGTGCTCTGGGTTAACCCAACCACTGGTTTCAAAATTCGTTAATGATTAAAAATAAAAAATAAATCACAATCAGCCATGCTACGTTGGCATTACCACACGTGACAAGAGTGATGTTGCAGTGATGTCACTACCATGGTCCCGACGAAGATTTTCAAGTATTTCTTTGCTCATAAACAAAGCTTTAAATTTGTGTCGGATGGCATGGAGCAGAGCGCATAGACACATAGATAGAGAGTAACAAGGTGGTAATTTAGTATGAAGAGGAGGGGTCCCACAAATCGAGTGAGTGAGTGTGGCTCACCATCGCTCTCCTGGTGGAGGTACATTGTCGTGAAGTCAAGCACCGGGAACGAGTGGTGACAAGTGTCTAAAACACAAACAAGCAAATAAATAAATACATCAATAATGTATCCAGACAGAGGCAAGAATATACACCACCAATAATTCCAACAAACGTGCGCTCTTCCAACACCGTTATAAGAATGCAACAAAACAATAACACAGTGCAAAAAGTGCACGCACGGACGAACACGAGCTTCCCTTACCCGAGTCGCGTTCATGTTGGCGTGCATCGCTCCCAGCCACCACCACCAGCCTCTCCTCCTGGAGCATCTCCATGGGTGGTGGTCCATCATTCTCCTCCGTCTCCCAGACAACGTCCGGCCTGGGCGGGACGAGCCGCTCCATATCCACGGCGACCAGCTGAGTGGGAGGAGCCATCACCTCCTCGTCGGCCTCGTCGTTCTCCTCCTCCTCCTCCTCGGGGCTTTCCGTCGCACCCGACGACGCCTGGAAGCAGATGCAGAAGATCATTGCTGGTTTCCTGCGGCTGCCTTGCTTATGCGACGGTGCCCTGGCTCCCTTGCGTCGGCCCGAGGTCCAGGCGTGCACACGGGGGGCACGGCTCGTGGGAGGACGGTCCCCATGGTCGTGCATGGCAGCGGCGGCGGTGGTGGCGGCAGCAGCAGCGAAGGGGATGGCGCAGTGGCAGCCCCAGAGGTGCGGCACGCTCGTGTGCGCCCTTAAATACGACGACTGAGCTGCTGCTGCTGCTGCGTGACGCCAGCCACGGACAGCCCTGCAGTGACGTCAGGCGCGTGTGCGGTGTGGGAGGGGCGGCGGAGGGCGGTCAGAGAGCCTCGTTTCCATCCCCCACCACCCCCCCCCACCACCTCCCCCCACCCCCCCGCCTCCCCCCGCCTCCCCCCACCACCTCCTCCCCCCACCTCCTCCCCCACTTCCCCCCACCACCCCCCCCACAACCCCCCCCACCACCTCCCCCCCACCTTCCCCACCCCCCCCCACCACCCACCCCCCCCACCTCCCCCCACCACCCACCACCCCCCCCACCACCCCCACCTCCCCCCCACCACCCCCCCACCACCCCCCCCCCCACAACCCCCCCCACCACCCCCCCACCTCCCCCCACCTCCCCCCCACCACCCCCCCCACCTCCCCCCACCCACACGAGACTTGAGGTTTTTCCCCCCTTCCGCTTGCAGTGGCACGGCACGTCTGCTGCCTGGCACATATTTTACCGCGTGTGTTGCATCCTGACAATTGTGCTCAAAGGGCAATTACATTTCGCGGCTGTAGTCAGGGTACACATAAAGAGCAATTCGTTTATTGCTGCAATAAATGAAACAATCTGGATGAGACTCACCATCACGTCACGAGAGAAATATGACTCTCTAATTTAACAAATCGATTTGGCAACACTTGCACACGTCTCCCGGTATTGCTTGTCAAAGAGAACCCCTACCCCAGTGAACTCCCACTTGTTTGAGATAAGGGAAATGCATCTGAAATATATATGCGCACTTGTAATACACAGATGGCTCTGGCAAATGACTCATCCGAAAACAACACAGATGACCTTTCAAAGCACCGCAAATCTCTTTTAATTAAGCTTCTACAAGACAGAAACGAATAAAACACATAAATTCGGGTCACCCATTATTTATGAGCCTCCTGGCATCAGCCCTGGACTGCCAAATGGCCCTCTGCACGGATGGCCCTGAATCACTGGAGCGTCTCCAGTGGCCTGGAATGACATCACTGAATGCACACACCACGACTTACGTCAGCACGTGCTACCACCGCTCTGTGCTGCTCTGGCCCCTGGGTTGGTCGAGATGCTCGTGGGCAGTGCCTATTGCTAGGCAACAGCTTCCGGTTTTCTGTCAGCTAAGTAATTGAGGGAGGGAGGGAAGGGAGGGATGGAGGGGAGGGAGTGACCAGGAAAGAGAGGGGAGATGATTTTAATATATGATTGACAGTAACAGGTCCAGTAGCATCAAGCCAAAAGCAGGTTGGTGTGAGTGGAGTAGCACTCGCTGGGTGTTGCATGCAGTGTGCCCTGTGTGTAATTTGATAGTGCAATGTGCTCTGGGCTATGGAAGTGTTTGTCATGTCAGAGTAATGATATGTACTCGTTTTAGAATACACATCTGTCTCAATAATTTTACGTCGTTAAACTTGTGAAGAAAATTTCGCGACAAACACATTTTTAGATTTGTTGTTTTTGTAATAGACGCACTACTTAATATTTTGTGCAAAATGGCAAACCAAAATGAACACCATTTGGTATCAAACTTGTGGCAATTACGTTGGTGGGGTGGCAGATCCAACTTTCATTTATAGGTCTCATACCCAAAAAACGTGACTTTGGTTCCCTGCCCGTTTGTTTTCTCATGTATACTCCTCGAAGGATTGTTCGGTTGGATTCTTATTTAATACAATCAACAAAATAATAATTAAAAAATATAAGTATAGTAATTATTTTCAACAGGAATTCTACAATAATTAGAATAAAATACAAACTGGATATATAATAATCTTTTAAATACGTTTCCTTCTCACCACACTCCACAAGACACATTTAAATGACACAGTGGGGATGATGGAGACTTTTTAATTAAAGGGAGAAATTATAAAAAGGCACGTACGGGGAGAATACATTCTATACTGAATATAAACTACTCATACCATCTTGCCATCACCCAGGGCATTGCCCAAGCCCCGTGGCTGTATTCACAAAACTCGCACCCTGTCTGGGGGGCATGAAGAAGCCTTCCGACAGGTGTAACACGCAATGGTTTCCATCACAGCCCCGCGGGTGCTGTTACATAACAGCCAGAACTTTGGGAACAGGCAACTAGGATTGCAGCTTTATAAAAAATAAACTCGCATATTGCAGTGGGTGGGAAAGTACTGCCCTCTACTGTGTAGACTAGAGGTCACTTGAAGAGATCTCAGAGGTAGCTCTGTAATATCAACTTCCGTGGGCCGTTCTCTAACATGAAGGATCGCACTGCCCTGAATTACATGATGCTGAAAGCACAATCAGGATAACATTCAGAAAACAAATACCAAATAAAATGAAACATAAAAAAATCATCCAACTGAGTTGACAAAACTCAGTTTTTTTTACAAAGGAAAAATGTGAACATGTTATACCTTTTTAAGCTTTGCCAATCCAAAACTTTTTTTTTAAACTTAATTTATTTTAATGAGCCATCTACGTTGTTCAATTGTAGCAGAATTTTATATAAATGGACAATCTAATTAGACGTGCCTCACTGAAAGATGAGCGCATCAAAAATAAGTTTATTTTTGTTTGATGTCTGTGCAAACACAGATGACGTTCTAATAAAACGTGATAAAAAAACATAACGACACAAACATTTTACTTGAATTATGAACAACGCATCCTATGTCCAAGGTAACCAAAAAATGTAAGCCCAATGTTAATTCAACATTTGCTTTGCTTTTCCCTCTGTCCGAACCAGTTCTCGGCAGTCTGTTTATGCACACTGCCCCGCTCCAGCTGCGACTGGTTTTAAACAGGCTGTTTGCAAGGACCCTTTCAAGAGGTCAGATATCTCTCCCTGTGCTCATCACTCCTGCCTTAGAAATGCTAAAGATAAACAGCCCAGGATGTACCCCTCGGGCAGAGGGTGTACAACAGCAGGTAAATTGGTGCCTTTGTCTTATCTTCAAGGCCACGCATGCACCCGAAGCATTGCTACTTGCTACGGACAGAGAGGACGTTTGTTTAACCACCACGCACTCTACTGCGTAGGTTTTCGCAGTTGTGCTATAGTTCTTTGATATGTCGAACATACGTCCTACAACTCTAGAACACACTATAGAGCTATCATGTGCTTTCTCGAATTAAATGTGCATCACCCTCACATCGCTTTCCCTCTCCTGTGCTCATGTGTCTGCGCTCCTCATACACCAAATGGCAAAATATAAAGTCATAAATGCGAACACTCCGCAGCACCTTGCGATTAATTATTTAATTATATTTTTACATGTTTACGCTGTGATTAACAACAATATATAGGGTAAATAATATGTAATATACGGAAAAGGGGTAGTGCCTCGACTCTTATGAGTCCATCCCCCACTTATAATGCACTATTGAAGCCATGATCACATGGATGTTCTCACATTCAGTCACCAAAATTATGACTGCCTTCTGTTTACAGTCAACAGAAATTGTACATACAACATTCACGGATCACATGGTTCAATTGACCCCTTCCAGACTTGCAATATTTCCTCAACAGTAAGAATGGTGACTGCAGAGCAAGTGGCTTGTTATGAAAACCAAAGAATGTTTGCCCGTTTAAATTAAACTGTGTTTGCTCCACCTAATAAGATAAACCTCAACACGGATGGACCTCTTAACAGCACCACCGACAGGGAAAAGTGGCTTCACATTTATATGGCAACTCCCACTGTGGCATGAGAAATATGTGCAATCCATGTTTATGCTCAATAAGTATGTGAATTATGTAACTGTTTTATTGCCTTTCTGTTGCTTTTTTTTTATGCGTGTGATCTCATTGGAAAAGGATGTTCCACATTGCAGACACGCCTATTCTGTACCTGAGCCCCATTTAAGGGCTTAAATGGAAACAAATCAATCACAATTACAACACGATGGGACAAAATGTGTTAATTTATTTTGCAGGCACCCAGAAAAATAATCTATTTGCTGTCAACGGCGACCGAAATAAACCAAAAAAAATTGCTCCGTGTTTGGACACATCCCTGAACTGTGTGTACAAAAAACATCCCCATTTCATAATACAGTGGCTAAAATGTAATTTCAGATTACTGAAAATAGACTTGCTTTATCGTCACACATTCACTGGTCTGGCTGCGAGGCTGAATGGACGACCTGTTTGGCAGAAAACCCCGCGCTGTGTTTGGCAGATAGGGAAAAGCTCGAAGCAACTCCACCACAACTAACACAGCCAAATAGAGCTTCACCAAGACCAGTGGCATTTAGAACCTATATAAATACGAATTGTATGGTGTTGAAATAAACTAAATGCATTGATGATGAGAATTAATGAAAGCAATGTGCGTCTAATCATGGCATTCTGCAGAACCCAGATAAGTATGTTAAATCAGTTGAAGCCTAGATAATCTCATTTCATTAGTCTGAACAAAATATTTGTAAAATGTGTAATCACAACTTATACAATTTTATCATTTGCATACTGGTGAATCGGCAGAGTGGTTATCAGACTCATGTGACCAAAATTCAATTCTGGGCCGTGGCTAATCATTGGTGAGTCATATCTGACCCATCCTGGGCCCCAGCTCCCTCATCAACCTGCAGAGTGGTAGGTGAAGTACGGTCATACACATCCATGACCGACATAGCATGACATTTATTCATGTGGCAGTGGTTTTACAAAAGGGATGAAATTCTAATTACTTAATTTGTTTAAGGTTAAATTATTATATTAAAATACATATCTTGCAAATCTGCACACCATTTTCCAACATCAGGACCATGTGAATCAACATGTTCACTTGCAGATGGCATCAGGACAAATTCAACACTGACTTTCCATTCCACCATGCCAAGTGTTACAAATTAAAGTTACAAATGCGCAGCATCATGTTTTCATTCCGACGCGAAGTTAGTTGTTCGATGTCTGCTGGTTGAAAATGTGGGACAATCTGTGCCAATAATTGACGTTTGCAATTACCGAAATAGAGACGTCCACCATTTGAAATTCCTCCTCTTTCACGTTACACGAATGGACATTCTTTCGCCTGTGGAAGAAAACAGAAAACATCAGAGAGGGATCTCCCAAGTTTAAACGGGGCAATGATACTTGAACTCCAGCTGCCCCCCCACCCCCCATTTTCCTACATCAAAGTTCTCTCTTTAACCATGACCACCTGCATTCCTCACGTAATGATGAATTTTCCATTGCGTCTTGAGAATAATAGTGAATATGGAAAAAAAATAAGGGGGCACAGAGACTTACGTTTAAGAAAACCAAATGCAACAAGGTGCTACCGTTAACTTTAATAGATTCACAAGATTGTTTACAAGGTGGAGGAAATTTATTGGAATTACTGTAAGCATTATCTTAAAGTAAGACAATTTTTTTCTTTGGATAATCCGTATAACATGACTTTATTTACAGTCCAGCTGGCATCATCACAGAGGCATGAATGGCAATATAGGGGGTGAGTGCATGGAGGGGGGGGGGGGATTCATCTGTTACACCTGGCACAGACAGAGGGTGAGCAGAGTCATTGGGATCAGAAGGACCTGACATGGGGGGGAGCAAAGGCAGTGTTTGGAGTTACCACTACATGGGCCTCTAGAGAACTTTTTCCATTGCCCCTTAACACTGAATAATCACCCCTGCTTTATTCTACACAAGTCTGCATCTTTACAGTGCATTGTTCATCCACAAGGTCACTAAACAACACTCATGCGGAAGCCCTGAAAGTCGAAAGTGTTCCCGCTTAAATAAATGGTGCTGGAAAATATCGGTTTTAAAGGCCAAACTGCTGATGGAACAAAACATCGGTGATCCATTTATTTAGGTTATGAAACACCTCTGAATTTGTTTTATATTCCAACTCTTTGCGAAGTAGTATATCATACAATCACAGTTACCACCATAATACCATTCGGAATGTGAATTTATGTAACACTTTAAAAAGTTACGTTTAGATTTATTAGAGTTATGACATTAAAAAAGTATTTTAAATTGGCCAAAAACCCATTACTTAAGTATTTAAAACATATATTCTTAGAGTATTGTTCCTCTCCCTGCGAAAATCGTGCATGCAAGTAAGCTCACAGCATCCATAATTATTGTTTTGCGCCTCGAATTACCGCTCTGAATTCACTCGTGAATCATAATTACATTTATAAATACAACGGTGCATGAGATAATATGCGAAAGCATGCACAAAGACAACACCACCGTGACATACTGGAGATACACAGACAGGTACACTATAAAAGATGATAGGATGAAAAGCGTGTTCCATAGGGCAGCACAAGTGAGGGTACAAGGAAGATCCAGTGTCAAGTCCATTAAGTACACAAATTACATTTACATGCTTTCTGCATCATTTCTCATGTTAATGATACAGGGAACATTTACCTATTTGTTTTACACATAACAGCGTCATAGTAACAGTCCAAGAAAGTTGCTAAAAGTAAAAAAAAACGATGTTAAATTGTGTTTTACATGTGATAACAATCAAAACTAAGCTACAAAGAACGTCTCTGTTCACTTGTAAGTGGCATCTATTAAAAACTGGACCCAGCAGCTGTGGACACTAAGCTTCTCCACAAAATCTTTCGTGACAAAAATTCGAGCCTTCATGGCCCATGCAACATTGCAAAAAATCTCTCATGCTACATATAATCCCCAACACATGACATTCCTAATACCACAGTTGGTAAACAACTGAACCAACCAAAAATATTTGTTTAGACGTGTCAAATAACAACTTATTTTTTTTTAAACCGTTGTGACTCACGTGTGTTTGCGTTTATGACAGACTGAGCCTGATGGGTAGTCACCGAGTAGAAGCATCCTTGCTGCTCTTCGGACGGACGGGAGGTGCTAAAAGCAAAGAGCTCTCAGCCAGGCCAGAGTGTAGCTGCCTCGGTGTGACTCGGAGCACGCCCAGAATCTGGGGCAGAGTGAGACGAGGGACGGACAACACCCTCGCTTATATTACACTACTGGCTTCTCCCAGGGAGCCAATCACAGCACGCCTCTGCACCAGCGGGCAGCCCCTTTGGCAGGGCACGACAACTGTCACATTATCCCGTGACAATTTTTTGCTGGCTGAGCACGCCAGGTAAAGTGAATAAAGTGAAACATGCGTGTGGCTTCAACGTCTCTCCGGCATGATCGAAGTTTTAACATTTTGAGATGACTTTCTAGGAATGGACGCCGTACGTTTGCCTAATGGGGTTTGTGAAGTTGGAAATATGATCGGATTTCATAACCTTATGAGGAAAGGTCGAAGGTTCAATGCTGAATATCGTTAAGCTTATACATACATACATGCATTATACTGGACGAGTTGTATTGTCATACAAAGTGAAAACAAAGTACTTTTATACAATATTCAGTTGGATATGTACACAAGGAAAAATACTTCAATATTCAGTCAGGTTTAAGATAAACAGTTTATCTCTGCATCCAGATTTCCTTCGCTGACACATTATCTACAATTGTGTACATCATATTGAAGATTTTACCTCCAATTTGATGTGGAAGTTCGAATTTCCAGCGCATGTAGTCTTTATAAAATAATAAATCGCTATTTAATATTTAGCATTATGCGCGATTGCAAAAAGGAGTATGTGTGGCAGCGCATCGTAGTGGTGGCCCATGGGCCGCAAGAGTGGAAAGCCAGTGCATGACCGCAAGAATACACAAGCACATGCATAGGGTTGCCACCTTTTCCAAACATCAAACACAGACCCATCAGCCTGGGTCGATCAAAACAGTACATTAAACTGTCATAAAATTCAACACAAGCCTGGTATTAGATGATTGTAAAAATCTATTCCTGCCACCCGAACACAGGGTGACAGTTCCTGAATTGTCCAGTTCACACCCGGACAGATGGCAACCCTAAGCATGAATAATGATTAATAGGACAAATACTACAGCATTAAATTTCGATTTAAAGCTTTCGTGACTGCAGGGATTCATCTTCTTGGTTCTTTCGGTAAAGTCACGTAGAAGGGAAGTAATAAAATAATAAAAATAAAACATAATAAAATCAAATAATTATCTTATTATGTTTTATTTTTATTATTTTATTACTTCCCTTCTACGTGACTTTACCGAAAGAACCAAGAAGATACTACAGCATTACTATTGACGATGATTTATTTGGGGCCGTCCATAAATGACGTCACGCACCTGGGGCGGGTCAGACATTTGTGTGACGAGGGGGGGGGGGGTTTGAGAAATGTGACGTCACATCAAAATGCAAAACTTTAAGTAAATATAGACAACACGTTCTACTTAATTAAATATGCTTTTTAATAAATGTTTTCTCCTACATCAGAGTACAGCGGCACATTAAATACGCACTACAATGACAATAGTTTAAAGCGATTTGAAGCATGTTTTTTGGGGGGGGGGCAGAGCTTTGTGACGTCATATTTGAGGGGGGGTCTGACTCTTTGTGACGCCGTGTGACGAGGGGGGTCAAAAATCGTCCAAAATCGCGTGACGTCATTTATGGACGGCCCCTTTAAGAAAACAAACTAAATAGCTACACGCACCACTGGTGTTTTTAAGAACTGTGGATCACTGTAAAAATTTGATATGGGATGCCAGACCAAATTTAGAGTTTATGTTTCAATGTACATGCGAAAGGCCAACCAACTAAATAAACTTTTTAAAGAGCTTCCCATCAGCTGGAGAAGGTTTCAAGTTGCGCCCCATCCTTGTTTGAGTTCAATCGTTACAAAAAATTCAACTCTTTGTTGGGATAAAGTGTTCTGATTAAATAAGCAGACACCAGTTAGAAAAAAAGCAAGCAATATCGGGCTTGATATTAATATACAGTACATATGATTGGAAACTATTGCATTTGGAAAAAATCCACACGTTATCAGAACACGAGGGGCAAAGAGCGTATCAGCGGAATGTGGTTTCTAATAGAAGTATGAGCAAGGTTTTTTTTTGTTAAGGAATCAGTGCTATATTTATTCTCAACACACTCTTAAGATAAACATTTGGATAGCTCTCCTGAATAGTTATCCTTCACTGCATATAATCCGAGGTGATATCTTACACAATTTCGATTTAAAGCTTTCGTGACTGCAGGGATTCATCTTCTTGGTTCTTTCGGTAAAGTCACGTAGAAGGGAAGTAATACAATAATAAAAATAAAACATAATAAAATAATTCTTACACAATAATACAACACTGGAGCCACACTGACATTCATCTTGTGGCCAACTGAGCCAGATTCAGTCTGCAATTTATTAACTTGCAGCATTAGCAATTAGGCACACGGAGTTTGAATTGGATACGATTGATAAAAAAAACGCCTACATCGTGATACTTTTACTCTATCAGTTTATAGTGGTCCCATTTTTTATTACACGCTTTTATTTAACTCACTCTGTCTGTTGTTGTTGTCGTCATTGTCGTATCCTCAAATCTTGTAACTCAATTTAACCCACTTCCCAATGTGGTATCGACTGCAATTTGGTATACTTATGTCATACTGATGACAATACTATATTATATTATTTTAAAAAAAGTATTTCTAAACATTAATTTTCATGTTATGTTTCGGCTTGGGTCTAATTGTCCACGCTCAACTGACGTTGGCTGTAAATAACCACGGTTCCTTACGTTATGGCAAGCCTCGGGGTCACTTCCTGGAGTCGTGGAGTTCTGCCATTACGAGTAGGGTACATTTCATGAAAGCGTGTTTTTAAAAAAGTTTTTAAATATTACTTATGTAATTTGCATTGTGAAATTTTGTCATGATGCAAGCTTTTTTTCTCAAAGATTTGCAATGAGCAAGGTCAATGTAAATACAAAAAATAGGATGCAAAATAGTGATTCCTACAGAGCAACTGTGGAGTCATTATATCACAAACAGCAGTGACGTCAGCAACAATAAATGTCTTCAATACCGCAAATAATAATATTGAGACTTTGTAAGCCATATTGATAAACGTTTAAATAGAAACTGTAAATGCTGTCACCGGAGCTGGATATTATGACATTGTAAAATAATCACTTCCAAACAATTGCCTATTGATCAACATGAACCTAAGAGAATGTATATTTTGAACATCTTTCACACCATACGTAGCAAACCGTGCTAATCGGAGGTGTGGGATAGCCTTCAGCCCTGTAAATGTTGGGTGGCAAAGGAAATATCAGCAAGAGCAGCACATACATGTATCCACTCTACACAATCCAGGCACGCTTAAGTTGAGCTTTAGTTGAATCGCGAGGGCAGATGGGTTGAATGCGAAGGGCAGGTGTGACCACCATCCAGTCTGAGTTTCATAATATATCTATTAGGTTTACAGATTTGGATTGATTTCGACACGCCTGATAGGAAGATATTTGCACGGCATTTCCATAAGCCACAAAACTTGAGAACATATAGAAAAAATCCATTAACCAGCAATCCAATAATCCCCAAATCCCTGTAATTCAAGGATTATTGGTAGTTTGCTACTACTCCCGTAATTTGCAAAACACCACGGTGGGTTAAAAACGCTTTGCAGACCGCAACCCACGATCTATAGAACGAGCCTTTTGCCCCTCCAAGGACGGGTGTGTTGCAGTAAATCTGAAACTTGCAAGCGAAAAGCAGACCGCCACGTGATATCCATTGCATCAATTCGTGTGCAATTTGTAAGGGCGCGGTGACACAGACTTATTTCATTTTAAGATTAAAATCCCTTGTTCATCGTGACGTCCTTTTTACTTCTATGTCTCAGTAGCGTTACGGAGATCGCGTGACGTGAGGGTTCTGCCTTTGTAGTGAGGGTTGTAAGTTGACACCGAGGAGGGGGGAGGAGGCGTCACCTGCTCATGATTATTAATCAAGGGGGAGGGTGCTCCATGTGGAGTGACGTCACCTACTCATGATTATTAATGAGGGGGGGGGTCCATGTGGAGGACGTAACCTATTCATGATTATTAATGAGGGGGGCTGGTCGATGTGGAGTGACGTCACGATCGTTGCACACAGACATTCTTGGCTCATTATACTGTACTGTAGTCGGTAATAATGGGGGGGGGGGGGGGTCCATTTGGAGGACGTCACCTGCTCATGATTATTAATGAGGGGGGGGTCCATTTGGATGATGTCACATGCTCATGAATATTAATGAGGGGGGCTGGTCGATGTGGAGTGACGTCACGAGCGTTAAGGACAGACATTCCTGGGTGGTTATAGTAGGTGTTAGGTAGTGCTAATGGAGAACTGGAGTGGAGACGCAGGGAAAAAGCGGAGGAAAGTTTATTTATTTATCATTTTTCGTTATGTTCCAAAGACAGGTGTGCTTAGATTATTTGTTTAGGACTTAAAGATTTAGCATTTTTTTTACTTGGATATTTATTCTAATAAATGCAAAAAAAACCCTTTAACATAGACCCATATGGCAGATTTGCACCATTTGCATCATAGAAGAATGTGTAACCTCGTAATCCACAATTTTTAAGTGGATTGATGTATCTACTGTCACGTGCCCATGCTCCCCTGTAATGTAGGTTAATCGAGTCGCGTGGCTAATTCGCGGCACAAACATTTTTTTTTGCGGATTACAGGACCAAATTCCGCCGTCCACCACGGAATACAGCTAAGGGGCCATCCATAAATGACGTCACACACCCGGGGGGGGGGGGGGGTCAGACATTTGTGACGATGTGTGACAAGGGGGGGGGGGGGGGTTGAGAAATGTGACGTCACATAAAAATGCGCAACTTTAAATAAATATAGATAACACGTTCTACTTAATTAAATATAATTTTTTATAAATATTTTCTCCCACAACATCAGAGTGCAGCGCCACATTAAATACGCACTACAATGACAATAGTTTAAAGCGATTTGATGCATGTTTTAT